ATGTACCTGAGACCACATGGGATAAAATGGTAATAGCAACCTTTCCCTGCTCTGACAGAACAGGGACGGCACCGTGGCAGCCGAGCAGAACTGCCGCGCACGCGGTTTCGTCTCTCCTTGGAGTTTTCTCCTCCGCCTCAAAACAAACAAACAAACTAAAAAGCAATAAATGCAAGAAAAAGGGAGACTCGCTGGAGAATAATTAGGGGAAAACTCATGCATCCCTGTGAAAATGAGTGTTTTGAAGAAGAGAGAAAATGAGATTACAGTCTCTATGGAGACATGAAATTCCTTGGGTCCCTAGAGCGCTTGTAGGGTACTACCCCCAATACGGGAGCTCCTTTAACATCGCAGGAGGCAGCACAATGGGATGGCCTAAAAGCAGCTCCCAAGCTGTAAGAATTAACTTTGATCAAAGCAAAACATGGAGGTGTCCCTGTCCCTGTCTCTGCTACTAAGCACTGCTGGTTGAAAGCCTGGAGTGACCCCAGAGAAGGCAAATGTTACACGCGGCTCATTAAAGGGCAGAAAGTGGGCCAGGATTCCTGAGAGCTTCAGAAGTCAGCTCCTGCCACGGAGCCGTGTAACCCTGCACCCGTGCCCTGGGCACAGCAGTGCTTGGGCAGCCAGGGAAGAGGTTCACAGCAAGTGCTGCCGCTTCCTGCGATTTGGCCACCAAATGAAGATACAGTGCAGTGACACTGTCCTAATAGGCATCGTACGTCCTTCTGTCTAATGTACTTGTTTGGCTTACCTCTTATTTAAAACCCACGTCTAAAAACATCGATGTGAAAGGACGTCTTTGTTAAAGAGCTAACAATGTGAAATAGTTTCTGAAGATCACCATTAAGTCTTTTCAATAAATCAAAGAAGAGCAAACTCGAATTTCTGGAGTTCAGGATTAGGTAAAATTTCTTGCCTCTCTTTATTTTCCTTTATTGTGAAAGAGTACCTGAATTTCATGCCTTCCTATACAGAGAAGCATTAAAATGAAGACATGCAGTTTGACAGTGGTTTTTTGCTGTTGCACTTAACACGATAGTTATATGAGGTTGTATCTCATCCAAGCTTCCTGCACCAGGCTTGATCTCACTTGTGATCCGCTTGATAACCTACAAGTTCACAGCAGCCCAAAGTCAGACCAGCTCAGCCCTCACCGATGGTTGTGTTCACGCTAAGGCACGTGCCACATTTCCCTAAATGACCGATCTTGTATTTGTCCCCAGGTGTTCCTTTTTTATGCAGGCACCCTGGCCTCTACCTACTGCCGCATCACACTCTTGCTGTGACCACAGGCCAGGGGAGAGAGCGATGGGGGCTCATTGGGACACCCCATGCACAAGCTCTACCCGGGCTAGAGAAATCCTCTGCCTGGTCAGCAGGTGGCGGCAATAAATTGCTGCCAAACCAACCCAGGCCAGTGGCTGGAGAGGAACTTCAAACACTCATT